TTTATGGTTCATATTGTACTTTGACCCCCTTATTGTATTTCAATGAGCTTTTATAAAGTTTTTGCCAGTTGCCAAACAAAAAAGCAAAAAGAGCAGACAGACTCTACTTTTGGTACACGATAATATAGCTGGGTTCGTTTGCAATATTTCCAACATCTTTATGAACTCTTAAGACGTTTTGTCACTTTATTGTGCACAAATTTCATATTGTACTTTGGCTGTTGTGCTGCACTTATAATTGAGCTCTTATTGAGTTTTGCCAGTTGCCAAACGAAACTTACTCAAAGAGCAGACAGACTCTACTTCTGGTACACGATAATATAGCTGGGTTTATAGTCTACAATATTTCCAACATCGTTATGAGCTCTTTCCCCTCTATCTCCCGACTCTCCACTTCCATTTTTCTAAAAAGAAAGAGCAAAGACTAATCACATTGAACTCAATAATCTTTTATGGGAAAGAGATGAAAATGGAAAAGAAAAGAAAATGAAAAAAAGTAAAAGAGCAAAAAGACTCTACTTCTGATACACGATAAAAATAGCTGGGTTTATAGTTTACAATATTTCCAACATCTTTATGGTAATGCTTTTGAAAATCTATATTGAAAATCGATTTGTCGATTTTGAAGAGACATTGAGACAGAGACATTTTGAGGATAAGGAGCCAAATTTAGAGAGATAAGGAGCCAAATTTAGAGAGATAAAGAACCAGATATACTGAGATAAAGAAGTAAATATAGAGAGATAAGAAACCAAATTTTGAGGATTTTGAGACAAATCGAAAGACTTTCCTTTATCGATTGGATCCGTGTGTTGGAAAAAAGCAAAACATTTTGAGTACAAATTTCATTCTGTACTTTGGCTGCCTTCCTGTCCTTCAATAAGCTTTTATAGAGTTTGTCAGTAACAAAGTACATCCCTAAAATACACAAATCTTTTCTTTTGATCACCTAAACTTGATCAAAGTCTATCAAATCATCTTTTTAGTTTTATCTGACATATCATCAAATGCTTTCACTTGCAATTAGGCAGGCAAAATGTTAAAAAGATTTTTTTTAAACAATTAGAGTATGTTCTAAACGACAACAGTTATCGTTATCAAAGCCGTAATTTTCGCCGTAAAATTTCGTCTAATTTCTCATCGAATCAGACCAAAAGTAACCTGATTTTTTCTCTTCTCTGCAAGTTATGAGTCACAACTCATTGTCAGCTTGTTTAATTTAACTAGAATCTTCAACCAAAAACCTAGGCTAAAGTCAAGTAAAGCTTGGCTTCATAAAAAAAAACAGTGAATCAGATTCTAACCATTGATAAGGAGCTCTGAGTAAATTCGCTGACAATAGCTTTTCAAAATAAATATCTTTCCAAGTAAAAGCTTCTTATCTAAAAGCTATTTGTTTAAAAGTTTAAAAGTATTTGTTAGCTTTTGTTTTAAAGTTCGAAACTATTTGTTAACTTTAGTTTTAACGTTTTATTTTTGAAAGTTCTTTAGATGTAAGTTTTTCGCATCGAATCAGACCAAAATTAAGCTGATTTAATGTAAACTGATTTGACTACAATAGCTTTTCAAAATAGATAGCTTTTCAAGTAAAAGCTTATCTAAAAACTATTTGTTATTGTATTTAAAACAATTTTGCTGGCTTGAAAGAGTTGACTTGACTCCGTTTGGAGATTTAGAATACAATACGGCACTCTAGTTGTCAAGCGTACTGATCAAAACTATTTATTTTAAAGTTTAAAACTATTTGTGAACTTTAGTTTTAACGTTTTATTTTTGAAAGTTCTTTAGATGTAAGTTTTTCTCATCGAACCAGACCAAAATTAAGATGATTTGACTACAATAGCTTTTCAAAATAGATATCTTTTCAAATAAAAGCTTCTCATCTAAAAACTATTTGTTTAAAAGTTTAAAAGTATTTGTTAGCTTTTGTTTTAAATAATAATAATAATAATAATACTTTATTCAAACGATAAAGTGAAAGAAATCATAGAGAAATGCACAGTGATACTTAATCATACAATACATACTGAAATCAATAAGCCAATTACTTACGGCAAAGAGCCACTAGATCTAAAGCATCGATACGTTTCTTGAATATGAAAAGCGACTGAATTTCTCGTATGTCGTTTGGGAGCAAGTTCCATAATCTAGCGGCTCTAACGGGAAATGAATTTGATAAAGAGGCATTGGAAGCAAAGGGAATTTGCAAAAGGAATGAGCCACTTCTGGGCCCTGACCGCGGTTTAAATTTGAAAAAGTCTATAAACAAAGGGCTAATCTGTTTACAACGGAGGATTTTGAAAGTTTCGACTAAATCAATGACAAAGCGACGATGCTGTAAAGTTTTTAGTTCAAAAAAAGCAAGTCTCTCCTCATAAGTAAAGCTAGAATATTTAGAATAGTCAATTTTCCATAAAGCGACTTTTGTGAACCTCCTCTGAATTTTCTCCAAGCGTTCAATAAAGACTTGTGCGCGGGGAGACCAAACAATAGAAGCATATTCTAAGATGGGCCGGATATAAGTCGTCAAGCATTTGCGGTAAGAGTTTAGGATGAACAATTGATTTGAGAATACGGCTAGAAACAAAAGAAGCTTTAAAGCTTAAAACTCCTATTAACTTTTGTTTTAAAGTTTAAAACTATTTATTAACTTTTGTTAACGTTTTATTTTTAAAAGTTCTTTAGACGTAAATCTTTTTACTTTGTACGGCTCCGATTTCGCAAAACCGATTTTCGAAACTTCTCCCCCCTAAAACCCAAAAATTCATTTTCCAATTGAAGCAGCCTTCTGAAATCAACTTAATATTTATTTATCTTAAATATCTTATTCATAAAAATAATTTTTGATTGTTGAAAAAAAGAAAAAAGCAAAAAAGAAGCTTTTTTTTTCATTTTTCATTCAAAGTACATGTTTACAAAAAAGTTTTTCGAAAATTCTCTGTTTGAAAATGCACGTGTCTATCTACATATTTCTCTCTTTTGTACTGTAGTTTATCGCACAGGCACTTCGTTTAGAAATAAACACTTCAAAAAAGCCTTATACTAACCCTTGAATGGTGTTTTCTCGAATTTTGTTCACTTTTCGATTTTTCACTTAAGAAATAAGCCTTTTAACACCATAGATCTTGACCTTTAAGTGTATTTTGTTTAGGTTATAGTAAAGATTGTTATTCTTTTCAAATTTTGTGATCTAAACTGAGTTGGAGTTGGATTGGAATCAAGCCAGATCCATATCTGACTCTTGATGAATTCAGCGACAGGCCTAATCTGGAAAAATTGTATTTAAAACAATTTTGCTGACTTAAAAGAGTTGACTTAACTCCGTTTGGAGATTTAGAATACAATACAGAACTCTAGTTGTCAAGCATAGTGATCACAAAATCACAAGTGAATGTACGGAAAGCTTTGAATCATTCTTCAAATCTTTCAGTACATCCGCTGTTCAAAGCATTGTTCAAACCATTGTTTAAAGCATTGTTTAAAGCTTTCAAATCTTTATTTTAAAAGGATCTATTGTCAGAAAAATCTTTAGCTTTATGACATGTTTCAATAATTTATCTGTATATTTATTTTGGATGCAGTAACTAAGCAATTTGTATTTCTTGGGCGATTCAAAAAGTGAATGAGAAAAACCGGCAACAAGAAGTGATCTTCGGAGAGATGTTTCGTTGATGTTTGTTACAGGAAAAAGAGCAATGGGAAAAAGTAAACTTGTCCCCATTTTTGTTCCCATTTTCTCTCCAATTCTAGAATATCTCTGGGCTTAAACTGAATCAATGTAAAGCAAGACAGTTCTTGCTAAACGCTTGCAAAGCTCTTATTCAAATTTGTCCTACTTCTAGACTTCAAAATTTCAAATCCTGGATAACAATAAACCTTTTGCATCTAAATCTCTAATCTTTCCCGACTTTCTTTCTCAATGTCTCCATTTTCATTCTTTTAACTCCATCAAACCTCTTTTTCTTTAATTTCCTGCGCTTTTTTCTTTCAAATCCACCCATTCTACACTTTTTCTCTTCGTCACTCACGTTTAAACAACTGGCCTCTTTCCCTTTTCAAATCCTTTTTTCCCTTTTCTCCGTTTCCCCATTTTTCCCCCTTTTTTTCTCATTTCTTTCCCTTTCCAACCTCATCGATTTCCACCCAACCACATAACAGTCCCCATTCTCAAAAACTACTCCTTTTTTCTTCAGCTTCTCGTTTTTAATCTTATATTAAACTATTCAAAATTCACTCCCAAAACGAGCTCGACTTAGCCGCTTCCAGGTAAACGTTTTCAATAGATTTCAATAGACGTTTTCAATAGATTTTAAGGTTTGAAAAATTACCATTAAATGTTTACTAAAACTTTTATCAAATTTAACCGCTAACTTTATTAAAAAGAGAGATATCCTTTTTACTTTTTTTTTATAGCAAAAACTTTAAAACAAATTGTAAACGAAGGTTGAATCATTTTAAAATTCAAAACCTTGATGATACATAGCGAACGATCGCCAAATGATAAGTCTACGATTTTTTTGAACTTTGATCCTTGTTCCTTTGACCGGAATCGAGCACAATATGTTTTTCTTGATCTCTACTCTTCTGTGTGTAGCTTCCATAGAAACACACTCAATCTGGCGCACTTAATTCTTTATTTTCGTAAATTATTAGATAATTTTTAGTGAAAAATAAAGAATTGAGTGAAATAGAAGGCTTGTGTTTCTATTTCCAAGCACAATGTAGGCACAAAGAACATTCCAAGTGTACTTGGAGTGATTTATGAATGTTTCTAGCAAACACTCATCGTTAGTCAACTTCCAAAAATCCGTACAAATGCCATTCTTTGCATTATGTGAACCGTCAAAACGCCCACCTTTTCACTGGAATATTCTTTGCTTTCTCTCTTCTCTCTTTTCCTTATCAAGAGTACCAAAAGTCATAACCCCATACACAAAGAGACTGATAAAAATCCCCGCAGACTTTTCGCCATTCCATTTTTTTCTACAAATAACGCGAAAATGGCTGACAATCGATACTTTCGTGCGTCGAAAATTGAGCGAAATTTAATGGAAAATGAGAAATTCGACGAATACTCTCCCTCCTCTTCCACATCGTCCCCGTGAGTTCTCTTTTAAGGGGAATTTCTCTCAATCAATCAATCAAATAAATCATAATCAACTTTTCTCTTGTTTAACTCTTGAGGGATGCAAAGTCTTTTCATTTTTTCGTACTTCCGTTAAAGCAGCACCAATTGAACAACGGTATTGCACGAAAGGCCAATTATTTCTGCAAAATGACATAAAACGAGTTAAAATGTCTTATGTCTAGATTTTTGAGAGCCTGAAGTCGGGTAGCAAAAAGGCGACGGCTCGATGATGCATTTTAGACGCTTTAGCTAAGGAAACCAATCTTGATGTTAATAAATAAAAGATAGAGCACAAAAAGTTAGATATTTTTTCAGATTTTCAGAGAAATTGATTCAGCCAATTTCTTTATAGAGGTTTTTATAGATTTTTATGAAAACCCGTTTTCACTCGAATTGCTGGGAACCCAAATTGACTAAAAGAGGGAAATTGAACAATAAACACTTTTCATTTAGAGCAAACCATAGGTTTATTGATGACTTTGTTATTTTTCAAAAGAAGTACGAAAAAAATGGAAAAGACTTTTGCATCAACCTAATAATTTGCATTGAAATCTCAAAATATTTCAGCTAACGATGATTAGAACATTGTAGAGCTTCTTAAAGCAAAAATTTGTAAATCAAAAAGCTTAGAGTCATTGAAATCCTTCAAACTTATCCAGTTTGTAGCTAATTTTAAGGTTTATCTAGTAATGCAACTAGTTACTCATTGTAACTATGCCCTGCAAATTATAAAAGTCGAATATTTTTAGTAAATCCTGTTTTCAAATCCTTGTGCTGCTGAAAGCTTACTGCTGAAAGCCAAAGCAGAAAGCCAAAGCAGAAAGCCAGAGCTGAAAGCCAAAGCAGAAAGCTAAAGCTGAAAGCCAAAGCAAGCTAAAGCCAAAGCTGAAAGCCAAAGCTGAAAACCAAAGCTGAAAACCAAAGCTGAAAGCCTCTGCATAAGCTCAAAAATCTCCTTTCAATAAATTGCCCACAATTTCTTTAAATCTCTTCTACGCAAATCTTATCTCTTTATTTAACTAATCACTTTTGAAAGTTCAGAAAATTTCTTTTTTTTTTCTTAAATTTTCTTTTGTGAACGCCTGTTTCCAAGCAACCTGAAGACAAAAAAAAAATTCTCTCGCAAAACGATGCTTCCTTTTTGGAAACATTTGGCTCAATTTACGCAAAGGAAACAAATAATTAAGGCTTCCTTTCAATAAAAAAAATCTTGTTTCAATGATTTTAAATCAATTTTCTTTCATTTTAGAGTTTCCACTGCATTAATCTATTTTATAAATTATTTCGGATTCCTTTTTTTTTTTGATTAGAACAATATTTGTTTTCAGTTACACAACGTGGACCCAAATGGAAGTTCCCCTCCAAAACGTTGTCTACTGTGATTTCACAAACGAGTTCCTCGGCGCCTCAAACGGCTATTTTCAAGGGGATTTCATGCAACGCTTTGAAGGGTTTGTTTTTCAAGAAAAATTCATTTCTTTAACATTTCATTAAGAAGGAAAACTTTAATGAAATTGTTAATGAAAAAAATGAGATCTTTAGCTGCTTAGGTAGGAAGCCGCTTTGACAGAGATTTGATTGATACAACGGTTATCAAGTCATCAAATCCACAAACTAATCTAGACTTTAAGCTCGATCATCGATCTCACACGTTTATGGCATATCTAGAACACTGTCTAAGGATGGTTTCTTGGGTTATTTGAGAACAAAAGTACTTGAGAGCAGTTACTTGAGAACAAAAGGTAGGTTAGAGCTTAAAGTCTAGATTAGTTTATAGATTTCATGACTTGATAACCATTGTATCAATCAAATTTCTATCAAAGCTGCTTCCTACCTAAGCTAAAAATCTCATTTTTTTCAATTTTTCGCTTTTGTTTACAAAAGAAATACAAAAACTGTTAAAACAATAATTTTGTTCTATCTTTAGCTTACCTTTTGTTCAAAAGCTGTTCAAATCTATTTGATAACGTGTTACAAAATTTGTCATCATGCTCGTAAAAATTGATTTCTTTTCGATTTCTTTTCATTTTCCCAAAAAAATGAGAGAAAAGGCTAGAATTTTCGGTTTTTTTTTGATCACGAGGGGCTAAATATGGAGAAAATGATCTTTTGATCTGGTTTTGAAACAATTTTCAACTTTATTTTGCAGAAACAAATGGTAATTTAATTGAAGAAATATAAAACAAGCATCAAATTAGCATTTAAATGCTCTACTTTTGAGATAGATTATTGTTTTTCGTTTAGAAGTACAAGAACAAGAGTTTTTGACTCGCCCAAGAACATTCAAATATGGCAAGACAATTCTGGATATTGCTAAAACAATTATGAACAATGAAAATTGATTTCTTTTCATTTTCCCGAAAAAAATGAAAAGAAAACTCTTGAAAAAGTTGCATTTCATTTTCATAATGAACTGTTTTACTCACAGGAATATCTAAAGATATTCAGCTCTAGTTATCTTTCTATTTTTCATCATTATCATAAACTTCAATATGCAATTTATCGATCACTGATTGAAATAGCATCAATGATGACATTTCCAGCACTCCAAGCAACTCGATGTCACCAGAGAGTCAACATAACATGTCCTCTTCATCAACATCAACACATTTAGCAATTCAAGCCGGCTCAAATGGCAGCAATCGGAGTTCTCCCGATCAAATCGATATGAAGGTGAGAAAATATGAAAAGAAAGGTAAATAAAAGATTCTGAGAATAGATTGCTAAATTATCGATTGGAGATTGGATGTAAAGATAGAAAAAGAGTTAGATAAAGCTCTCAAAGCCTTAGGAAATTGATTGGATTACAAAATAGACCTAAAATATTATCTTGGAAAGAAAGTTCTCGGAGAAAGTTTGCACAGTGATTTCTCAAAAATCAAGCCATAAATTCTTTCCAAATTTTTTGATAAACTTGACTATATTTCAAAGGTTTTAATCAAAAAAAAAATAAGAGACTTCTTTAGCTGAAGTGACTTGGTCACTTTTTGAGTGACCAGCCTTTAGACAAGTTTTTAATGGGTTAATGAATAGGCAATGGGTCCCATTCAAAACCCAAAATGAAGTACTTATAAGTCACCTATTTGTCCTATATTCAGAGTCACCTATTTTAGCAAATACTGAAGTGTCAAGAACATGACACGAAAAAATTATTTTTTAAAAGCTTCTCTGTAAAAAATTTTTGGCTAAAAATAGAGATTATAGAGCGTATTGCTCATTTATGATGGCTTTACCACATAAGAAATCCTTTTTCTCGTGCAAAAGCTGAATTTAAGCTGGAAAAGATAATCATTTTTCAAGAATACGCAGAGTGTGTTCCTCTCAGCTAAAGCGTTTTCGAAAATGCATCTATTCGAGAAGACGACCGTAGTCAAACTGCTAATTTAAATTCGATCAGCTCAATTTTGGTATCATTTGATGAGGAATCAAAAGGCTCAGTCGATGATATAAAAATTGAATTGATTTGATGAAAACTAACGGTTTGACTACGGTACTTTTCCGAGAACTTTCTTTCTAAATTAATAGATCAAAATAGCTCAAAATAGCTTAAAATAGATCAAAAATAGATCAAAATAGCTTAAAATAGCTTAAAATAGCTCAAAATAGATCAAAATAGCTCAAAATAGATCAAAATAGCTCAAAAATAGATCAAAATAGATCAAAATAGATCAAAATAGATCAAAAATAGATCAAAATAGCCAAGCCAAAATAGCAGCCAGCAAGCCAAAAAGCTGCAATAGCAAAATAGCTTAAAATAGCTCAAAATATATCAAAATAGCTCAAAATAGCTTAAAATAGCTTAAAATAACTCAAAATAGATCAAAAATTCAGTTTAGAAAAAGAAAATTGAACAAAATTAAGCCCGAAATCACATTGATGGCCTTCAATCAACTCCCGAAAAACGTTTGCCCGACGATTTGTGTTGTTTGTGGTGACACGGCAGCCGGTTATCATTATGATGTACCGAGCTGTAATGGCTGCAAGACGTGAGTCCCAAAATTGCTCGGTTTTAAATCGAAATTTACAATTACAAATTTACAAATTGTAAATTGGGGAATTAACTATTGCAAAAAAGAATCTCAAGAAACAAACAAATGCTTTGCTTTAGATTTTTCCGCCGAACAGTGCTCGATCAACGAAAGTTCACTTGTAAGAAAGGCGGGAAATGCTTTGAGATTTTGCCTAAAGGTTTGCATTTGTAATTTATTTTAAAAATTAAAAAAATATCTAAATCTAGATTTAGAAATGCGTATTTTTAAGAGAATAAAAATCCAAATTTTATTTGAATTCAGAAAAACGTTGCTCTTGTCGAGCTTGCCGCTTTGCTCGTTGCGTTCAAGTTGGAATGAATCCAATGGGTTTGAATGAATCCAATTTCTATTAAACAAAAGATATTCAGCTATACAAACGGATAAGGATTTGAAGGGAAATGAAATGTTTAAGACGATTGTGAACAAGAGGAAAATAAGTAAAGAAATCGTTGAGGAAATCGAAGAACCACCAGCGAATGCACAGGTACTGCTTTTAGTTATTCTAGAAGTTTTTTAAAAAGACATTACATTAGATTTACAAAAGAATGCATAGAACGAATCTTATTCTAGCTTTTGATGGAGTTGCGCCTGAAAGAGAATGCTTTTGATCGAATGGTTGACAGTTTGATGTACTTAGAGATTAAGGTAACTTTATTATACCGTATTTCTTCGAATAGAAGACCGGATAAAGAGTATCACCGCGTACTCCTGCGTGGCAGCCCTTTTTAAAATTTCTTTTCTGCATAAAAGCTTTCAATGAAATGCTATAGAGCTGGAAAATGCCTCAAAAAGCTGTTAGCTCATGTGGTATTTTTTTTTCTTTACCCGGTCTTCTATTCGAAGAAATACGGTAACTATAATTTTATGGCAATTACAACACTATGACGACAATAAAGATTGAAAGATATTGTTTAATAATTTATAAAAGATTCAAGCCAACCTTTAAAACATTTCAGGTTGACAAGCTCCGCTCTTCCACTTACAACCCTCGACCATTTGAGATTGGCAGTCTGCGTGATGTTCTCTCAAAACATTCAGCTTTGTCATTGGCTGAGCGATTGGATGTAAGTTATAAGCAATGAAAAGAGTTACTGTAAATCAAAAGTTCTACTGCTGAGAAGAGATTTCAGTCAAACAAAACCAAAGCTATGGTTTGAGATTTGGGCTTGAGTTGAATTTTGTTGAGAAAGTTAAGAAAATTTGCAACTTCAGAGCTGACAATTGTCCTGAAAGCCGAGAATTCTCTTGAATTAGATTTAAATTTCTGACTTATGACAGTCTGACATCTTATCTGACATCTTATCTGACAATTTATCATTGAATTTTCAGCCAATGCCTAACTGGCCTCTTCCCCCCATTCCCGCACATAATCCTGCCGAGTTTTGCTCGTAAGTTTTCAAAAGTATTTATATAAGAGCTTGAGTTTTTGCGAGAGTTTTTAGTTGGAATGGTTTTTACAGCACAAATTCGATCTTATTTTCATTTTCAGCCCATGCCAGAACCCAGTTAGAAAGGCGTGGTACGTTGATTTGTCTCTCATTAGCTCTCACCAAGAGATTTTTGTCCTTAAATGACTTTTGTGTTGTCAAATGGAGTTAAACTTGATAACGATTTGACAAAAGAAGAACTATTAAACTATTTTAAACGTAGCTTGCTCTTTGAGCTTGCTTTGTAGTCACGTAAACACGTTTCTGACATACTTTGATTTCTTAATTTTTGTTACTTTACAAGTGATCGATCTTTCAAGAAGAATCTAGAGCATAGAATCTAGCTAGCCTTAAGCTTAAGCTGTACAGCTGAAGCTTATGCTTGTTAGAAGCTTATGCTTGCTGAAGCTCAAGTAGTCAACTCGAATTTCTCCATTTGAAAACCAATTTAGTTAAATGTAGTAAACCACTCATCTATCTCTGTGGTCGTTGTCGATTTTTTGGCTTTTCTCTGTTTTTTGTTAAACAGATCTTGTTGTTTGGGTGTTGTGCTGTGGCTTATAAATATGGCTATCATTTTTAGAAAAATAAATGTATTCAATCAAATGATAAATCCTTTAAAAATATGATTTTAGGATGAAGAGTCCGAATCGAAAAATGTGGCTTTTCTTCGATCTCCTTGTTACAGTTGAATATGCAAAAACGTTTGACTTCTATTATCAATTGGACACACAAGATCAGGTTAGAACGTCGGGATTACTGTATAAAAGTACTGTAGTATAAAAGTACTGTAGTAGAAATGTCTAAAGAATAGGTTAAAGCTATCTTTTATGTACTTTGTGTCCTTTCCTTATGCACTCAACCCTTCTTGGTAATTATCTTTTGCTCTTAAACCTCAATTGAGAGTTGTTTAAAAGAAAAATTTGGTAATCTATGGAGCAGATTAGTCAAATTTGTAACACAAGAATACTTTCAGTTCACTCTCGTGCGGTACGTTTCTCTAATGTGCATGCAAGCGACGCAAAGCTTCTATTCTTACATCATCAACGCTGATACAATCGTTCATCCCGATGGCACAAAGCCGCAAGATATGTGGAAATGGAGAAAGTTGCATGAAGGGTAAATCTTTTGAGATTTGAGAATTGAATTGAATTGAATTGAATTGAGGATTTAGCCATGACAAGACACACAACGAATGCTTTGCGGCTCGAGAGGGATTGTTTGAAGAGAACGTGAAACAGTTAAAGCTCAATAGGATCTGTCGGGAAGAATATGTGCTTTTGAAAGCGATCACTTTATGTAACTCAGGTAAAGCGAGGAGAGATTGAAAGATAAAATAAAGATAGAAAGATGGATAGATAAAATAAAGGTAGAAAGATGGAAAGATAAAATAAAGCATAAAAGATAAAGATAGAAAGATTGAAAGATAAAATAAAGTATATAGAAAGATTAAAAGATAAAATAAAGCATAAAAGATAATGATTGAAAGATTAGAAGACAAAATAAAGCATAAAAGATAAAAGAAAGCTTTCTTTTATAAGCTAAAAGACTGTTAAACCCAAATTTTCAGCTATCGGTGACCTCTCAGAACATGGCTCAAAAATCATTGAACAAGCTCGTGTCAAATACGCGGAAGCTCTCTTCTCGCTAGAAATGGCTAATTATGGACCAGCAACTGGGCCTCTTAGGTACAAAATCTCATCGATAAGACTTGTAAATGAGCTTTATGCTTTCTTGGGATTCAATTGATCACAAATTTCATTTAGATTTCAAAGCATTCTGGCTTCAATCGAGGTGTTAATCCGAAATGCGAAGAAACATCGAAATGTACACTTGATTGCAATGGTTTGTTTTAAAAAGAAATCTGATAGAGCAACTTTATTTCATCAAAAGATTGTTTTTAGATGATTTTTCAAATGACAATTAAAAATACCTTTTCTAATGAATTCAAAGCTATTTTTTGATTCTACTAAACCACAGCTCGATAAGAACGGATATTTGAGTGCGTCAGAAAGGGGAATTTTCAGGTTTAAGTAAGAAAGCATTCAAAAAAACAACTTATATAATACTTTATAGCTAATATATTTAAAATTTTCAGCTCAATAAGCCCCACCGTGAGGGGAAACCGCCACGTCCAGCAATAGCTCTCATCGACGATATTATGGACGCTTGAAATTGTATAAAAATCATCAATCTTTACCTCGAAATTCATTTCTTCTCTCTACCAGCATTTTCCCAAGGTTTCCTATGTCAAATTTTATCTTAGTGATCTCTTTTTTTCTATATAATTTTTTTAATCACAGAACCATCCTAGTCTCTTCAGTCTTCAGGGCCGATCATCAAAAAATTAGTTTAACGAAAATGTACATAATTCTTTGTTCATTACTTTCCATTAGTTAAATATCTTTAATATTTTTGATTCAAATTGAATTGTCAAACATTTTTTTTGGTTCTCTTCCTAGTTTCCCCTGTTCTCTCCTACGGATGTGCATTCTCTCAAAAAAGTTTCTCTGAAATTGTGATTTTTCTCAACAAGATTTCCTCCTATTTTTGATTGTTTAAAAAATGAAATAAACTTTATTTAAAACCTTGCAAAATCAAGAATATTTGTTTAAGATGACGAAAGTTTCGTTTACGAATAGAAATCAGATCTTTTACAAAGGAATGCCAGCTAGCACACCTGTGTCACCATTTTATGAGAGCAAAAGGGCAATTAGTAAAAGTCGGACAGTTCAGCCGGTTCAATTCTTTGTCGTAAAAAGTTATTTGGTACTTGTTGGTTATACATCCACAAAGACTAGTCTCGGTTAAACATCCCCATCCGAGTCTTCTCGGTTATCGATTTTCGTTCGACTGATCGACTGATCACTTCAGTCGAGCACTCTACCTCGATGAACAACATGGGTTTCACTTTTATCATCAAAATTCTCTTCACGATATTTCACAACACTTTCGAATTCAAGGTCGAGATCTCAGCAGGGCAGAAAGTGGCCAGTGAAAGAAGGAAAACTTCTGGTGGAGACAGATAGAGCGCAAACAGTAAGAGGGGCTAACTTAGTTTCTGTTTCATCTTTTAAATTTGCATTCAATGTTTATAGTAACGTATTTTAAGTTTACAACAATAAAATTTATTCATCTTGGAAACGATAATACTCAAGATGTCACACTAATAAGCATCCTATTTAGCCGGTTGTTTACAGAGGGCAATCCGATATTTGACGTCACACGGGTAATCATTCCATCTGTTTAGGTAATTAAGCGCCCCGGGTGGGGCGGCTCGGAATGGGCCGAGGCCCCATCGATCCGTGTACACCTGCAAAGAGAAAGATAATAAAAAAATGACAAAACTTTAAGAATCATCCAATCTTAGTTTTTCAAGTTATATTTTAGTGCAAAATGGCTCTGAATCTCTACCATCTTTTAGTGGAAAACGTAAAATGATCTAGGTGACGATAGATGATTTTACTTCTATCAAAAGCTTTTCAGGGTTGAGTTCTCGCTTTTCCCCACCTGCAAACAAGACTCCTTTCCTCCGGCATTATTCGGCTCCCCGTCGACCCAATTGAGATAATCGAACGGGGTCCCGTCTGTCCAAGTCCAATCTTTAGCACCAGTGCCTGTCTACAAAGATTGTATTCTTTCTTCTGAAACTGAAATCACCTACCCTCATGCCACCGAGCAACGGTTGAGCCTCGTAGTCGCTAATGTTTCTTCCAAGCTTTGTGAATTCTAGATGTTAACAATTCCCGGGTTTTTCCTTAAAACCCACCGATGATAAAGGCATTCTCCTCGTTCGAATGCACCGACGCCAGCTGTGAGCCCATCCCTTTGCACTGGGCATTGGCCTCGACGAAAGTCACGCTGTCGATAGACTAAATGAGCATTCTCCTGTCGTTTTACGAAAGTTGTAAGAACTGTATTGGAGGATTGTAAGAGACAATCTGTTAGATGTTATTAGATATTGGACTTAACGTTTTAAAATTAGCTTCAACTGTACTTTGTAGCAGCTCTTGAAAGCCTGTTGATAGGTCCATCCAACTGGGCAAGGGGCCTGACCCAGGGAGATCTTGCAGACAGCGTTGATGAACTTCGCATTGCACTCGGCGTCATCCCATCTTGTGAAGGCACTTGGGTAAGCGGCTTGATTCGAGGTGTAGATCTTGAAAAAGTTCGCTATATTATTTTGTTTAGCCATACTAACCTGAAGACAATTCTGAATGCCGGCTCGATTGTCGGGCTGCTGGGGCGAGTGCCAGAACTGGAAATCGTACGGACTCCCGTCGGTCCACGTGAACTCCTTCAGGCTGGCGCCCGCCTGCAAGCATCAAGGGTTTTTAAACTCTGACAGAATAGAGAAGAAGCTTCTCTCCATCAGTTCCTTCTATCAAACCATTTCGACGAACCTTTCTGACTCCCCCGACAAGTGTGTGATATCCGGTGGTGACGTTCCGTCCCGTGTTTGCCAAGTCTGAAATATGGATTTTCAGAAAAGTTATTAAAAATTGCCTAGAGTTTCCAAACAAACCGATGATCACGTTGTTCTCCTCAGCCGAATGAATCGATGCCAACTGTCCGCCAGCCTCTTTGCACAGAGCTGTCGCCGAGTCCGAATCGATGCCTCCATCTTTGGAAACGATCTGAAGAAGATTTAGAGATGGTTTGACTTGAAAAGACCTACCTTAAAGCAACTATTCACTTCGGCCGAATAGGACCATCCCGATGGGCAAAGTGGGCGAGGGGGGCACTGGAATTTGTGGGGTTTTGATTTTTACCGTTTTTTTTTTTGACTAAAGTTAGTGTGTTGAACTGAATAGCTTAACATTCAACTGTATAAACTGTAGCTAAAATATTCATAGCCTTTAGTAGAAATGTGTATTGAGATGAACTACTGCAAACAGGGAATAGATTATGAGTGAACAAAGTACTCTAAAGCGTTCTCTCATTTACCTTAGTGACCGAAATGGCCACCAGTTGGCTGACGAGTAGAAGTCGAAACATTCGAAACTTAACAGTTTAACTAATCTCAAAAACTTTGTTCTTCCCACACTCCCTTTCCCATTTATAGTACTCCAGAACCGCAGCTTCTCAAACAAATAAACAATCTTTTGTGGGAATGAGCCCATTTGAGGAATTTCGTTATTTTCGTAAATAACGAATCACCCGGAATTAAAAAGTCCGAAATATCAATTTTTTGAAGTTAGAAATTAGTACGAAATATCAGTTTGGAAACCAGCTCAGTTTTAATTTAAAAAACATAGAAACCTTTAAGATCGGAACATCAGAACTCTGTGAAACGATGGATTTCTTTGCAAAAACTCGCTCTCACATCAGACATTTCGTAGTTCAATGAAAATTTTACTTTACAACAAAGGCAGTTATTGAAGATAGAGTTTAAGAAAAACACTCTTTCCATAGAGAAAAGGTGAAAGGCATATTTTCCCCCGAAGGTGAATCAAATAAATCCTTTCCACTATAATGGTTACCGGAACAATGAAACGAACAAGTGTTGACGGCAATGCTTCAACTTGTGCTTCTTTTGGTGACAGTAATTGTGCTCTTTGAATGAGTGGAATCTTTTAAGTTTAACCTGTACTAATGATTTGCTTTGAACTTTTTTGCTTTCTATTTTCGAAACTAAAATTTATTATAAAATAACTTTGAGAAAGAAGTACAATATAAATGAACAGTGCTACATTAAAAACGAAAGAGAAAAAGTGCAAGTTCACGGGGAGTCCAAATCTGCTTTTAGTTTTTGTCCTCGTGCCCTTGCCCCCGTGAAAAACTGCACAAGATGAGTTAGGTCGCTTCCCAAAAAGTCAACTTAACTTGATAGCTTTCCCTTGTTAGATGAGTGGGAACTTTCCACTTTCAGCCCGTGACATAGTGCTTTGGAACGTTTGCTTTTTTTTTGCAACTCAATTTTATTATGCAACAACCTTGAGAAGGAAGTACAACAGAGATGAACAGTGTTACATTAAAAACAAATGAGATAGTTCCAGAAATACTCCTTTGGCAAATGTCGCATCCGGCATTGCAGCTCGTATTTGTCGGTGTTTCGATGTGAAACATTTGGGGGTGGGACAAATGCGACCTTTTTTTTTTGCTGGAAAAGGCCTTAGGAAAAGTCGTAGAGCTTCAAAAACGTTTTCATAGAAGGGAATCGTATGTGTAGATTCAGAATTTTGACAAATCAGACCTCGCTGACACGTCAAATTTGGGCTAAAAGGCAAAAACTACTCAACTTAATGCTTTTCCGCAGTTTCTGCCTTTTGGCCCAAATTTGACGTGTCAGCGAGGTCTGATTTGTCGAAATTCGGAATCTACGCATACGACTCCCTTATATGGAAATATTTTCGAAGCTCTACGGCCTTGCCTAAGGCCTTTTCCAGCAAAAAAAAGGTCGCATTTGTCCCACCCCCGAAACATTTACAAAAAATCCATGAACGCATGGCATTATAATATGATTTTTGCGATATTGAGATATTCAGTTAATAGCCTTGTCTAAATCTTTTGATCTACTGAAAATAAAACCTGGACCAAAAACAGTGGGCTACAAACATTTTTTGCACAACTCGCCATAACTTTCTTCCGACTGGACCAATCCTTATGATTTTAGTTTCATTTTGCTGCTCCCAACAGGAGCAACAAAATAAAAATAATAAAATCATAAGAATTGGTCCACTCAGAAGAAAGTTATGGTTTAAAATTTTGATTTCTGATTTTGATCTGATCTATCAAAGCTTCAATAAGACTTAGGTCGTCGTGACTAGTACAAAATGCCACCTAAGTGTAGTAGCATTTGATTTTTTTGTTTCATGGATTATTTTCGAGCATTTGGTAGATTTCGTGACTTTCGTTCACCTTTTTGGTTCGTTTTATTGTTTGGAAAGTTCATGTTGTGTGACCATTCACTTTTTATTAAATTTCAGTAAGTGTAATCCATGCTATTTTTCTGAATAAGTTACCCCCAACTTTATAGTTTTACTTGCCGCAGCTTATGTGCGCGTCCTAATTGATACGTAAGACATTGTTGCATGATTTTAACTAGCAGCAATACCTACTTTTGGGCGCAAATGCAATCCACTTTTAGGCAAATGCAATCCACATGCAATCTTTGGCAAATGCAAATGCAATCCACTTTTCTATTCTAAGCCTTCTTTTGAAATGTGTTTCTTTACCAAGAATTTTGGTACTTTGGTGGTTGGGAGGGGCGACTTTTATCCTGCCGTAGTTGGATCTAATGTTTTGAGTGGTTGTATTAACACCTTTTATCTACCTATTCTAGGGTAATCAAATAGGCTTCTACTTTTAGAGCATTTACAACATGTTTCAAGTTTCATATTGCCGCTTTTATTTTATTTTCAAGCGTAGGCAGCTTTGAGGTAGCGTTTGGTGGTTCAAGTACTTGAGATTAGGCTAGAATTGCCAGAAACTTGCTAAAATAGTGACCAATCTGTTAAGCATATTTGATTACCCTAAAATAGATAAAAGTTATCAATACAACCACTCCACTCAACATCCAACTAAGCCAGGATAAAAGTGACCCCTCCCAACCACCAAAGTACCAGAATTTTATCTACTTAATTCTTTTTTATCTTTAGTCGAGGGTCTCCGCCCTTGCTGGCCAATTACAAAAGATGAATGGGATCGCTCAACAACATGTCAAGGCGAACGCTGGAGTTGCCGTTCAAAAGCGTGAGTTTGTTTTTTTGTTGCATCTAACATTTCTACTTGCTAAGTAAGCACTGATCTCCAGTTACCTAGTTGTAAAATGTGCGTAGTTTGCCTAAATGACATGTAGCTGGGTGTAGTATTAGGTTGGTGAATAAGGCTTTTCGTTCCTTTTCGGTGTATACGTAAGACATAGGTTGCATAATTTTGAGTGACCGCGAACTTTTTTAACAACCTAATATCTACTTACAAGGGAAGGTCAACCGGGTGTGGTGGTCAAATGACACGAGCCATATACTATTCGACGCAGAATTTTGCGCTGGTTCCGAATCTGCTTTCCTTTTTTGCAACACAGCACTTTGTCAGAAGTTATAAGCGCTCAGTTTTGTATGGAATTTAAAAAACCGTCCCTCTAGTTTAACGAGCAGAGTTCCCAGAGGCTTTGGAAAGCAGTGGTGGCCGAGTGGTAGTAGGCTAGAATACATGGTAAGTTCTCTCGGCTTCGAGGCCAAGTTTGACTTTTTTTGCTTTTTAGAGGTAATTGATCTCCATTTCAGATGCAAGCCTTTTTCAAACTACTCATAAAAAATTTTATTAACTATTAACATTAAACAATAATTATTGAAATCTAAAACAAAGTCTTCGCGATATTGATGAGATTCGTGAAATGGGCGAGTTTCATTTGATACTTCAAACGATGCTGTTTTGTATATGTTTGTATCCTGTGGATACAAATTGTCTCGCTTTTATGTCTCGTACCCGTCGTAGCTGTAGTTAAATTAGAATCGACGAATGTCATCAATGTCGCGAAGATTTGATGTTTTAGATTTCAATAATTATTGTTTAATGTTAATAGTTAATAAAAATTTTTATGAGAAGTAGTTTGAAGGCTTGTATTTGAAATGGAGATCAATTACCTCTAAAAAAGCAAAAAAAGTCAAACTTGGCCTCGAGGCCGAGAGAATTTATCATGTGTTCTAGCCTACTACCACTCGGCCACCACTGCTTTCCAAAGCCTCTGGGAACTCTGCTCGTTAAACTAGAGGGACGGTTTTTTTAGATTCCATACAAAACTGAGCGCTTATAACTTCTGACAAAGTGCTGTGTTGCAAAAACGGAAAGCAGATTCTCTTTGTAGGATATTTTATGGATATTTAACATGTATCTTATTTTAAAGAGTTGAAAACGCAAAACTACCTTTTTAGATGCCATGCGAAAATGTTGCTCCTCACTTTCCTGAGATTAAACGAGCTCAAATGGTTAATTGGATTTTTTGGATCTCCCGCATGGTCGAGATACCAGATGAATCATATTTTTTGGCAGTACACCTGCTAGATAAAGCACTATTGGTTAGCTTATGATATTTTTACTTAGAAGAAACTTTTTAGGTTGACAAAAACTTCTGAAATGTCAGATGTGGAAAACCGCGTTGTTATGGTGGCAGTGGTGAAGATTGCTGGAAAAGTCGAATGTGGCCCCGAATATGAAAATGGAATGGTATAACTTATCATATTAATTTTCCAAACAATTTTTTAGTGCGAACGTCTTAAGTCGGGTGTTTGCAATGATAAACTACAGTGTCAAGAGGACAAAGTTAATCAATGGGAATCTCAGGTTGACCTTCCTTTTATCTTTTATGGGGACTGGGAAATTGTTTTAGCTTCTGAAATTTTTTGACTTCGCCATTTCACGCAAACACTTGTTGCACTTTCTTCGTATTTCGTAAGCTTTGATTTTGATGCTTTTGACACCTTTGCTAAAGTATGTTTTTAGTTATTGATGAGTGATGGAGTGAGTGGAGCTGAGAAAATGGGTGGGCGACGGTGAAGGAATTGGCATATATCGCAATGGCCAAAGCACCTCTGATGAATAACAATTTCCTCACTTATTGCTGCTGCCATTATGCGAATAGCTCTTCACCTGTTTTTTAATCGTCGTCAACTTCCGAAGGATAAAGTTTGTTTTTCGAAAGAATTCGTAATAAGTGAGTTGACACAGTTTCTCCAAGTCTTCTCGAGCCTTCTACATGAAGAAAGTCAATACGTGCCGATCGCCACAAATCTTTTAAATTGGGTTTTGTCTTCTCCAACATACATTCCAACGGTAAGTTATTTCAATTATCGATTATAGTTAGTTGAGTTTGTAGATCGCTCGTGTCTTTAAAGCCAATCAAGAGCATCCCAGTAAACAAGAACTAGAAACTATTGCCAGTGAATTAAAGAACTTCGACAAGTATTTTCGTAGAGGCTAACACTTCGGTATCTTTTGTAGATTAATCTAGCATTTGTGAAAGAAAGGTTGTATATGTGTTTTATGACATTTTATTTTGTACTACCGTAAATGCTTAATTGGACACCGCCTATAGGAGCGTTACGTAGTCTAAATATACACGCAAACAAACGATCTATCTATGATCGTTTGTTTGAGTGTACAATTAGAGTTGTAGTTAAAACAACACCGAATAGAAAACGAAACGCCGTCAAATTTCTCCCGTTCCAAAAAACCAAGCCGCTTCAAGTTTTATACCAAAAATTCCTTGCGTTCTTGGCTACATGGTGGGTGAAAAGGTTTAAAAGAAGTTAATATTTCATAGATAAAATTAGCGTTCAAAATGGGTCTCTAAATATATTCAGTTAACAAACTGAGTATCACTCGACACACATTTTGAACGCTAATTTTATCTATGAAATATTAACTGTTTTTAAAAAAACTGTTTCACCCATCATGTAGCCAAGAACGCAAGGAATTTTTGGTATAAAACTTGAACCGGCTTGGTTTTTTGGATCATGAGAAATTTGACGGCGCGGTTTTGAACGTTTTCTATTCGGCGTTGTTTTAACTACATCCCTAAATGTATACTCAAACAAACGATCATGGATATGATGGTTTCTTTGAGTGTATATTTAGAATACGCAACGCTCCTATAGGAGGCGTTCTATTAAAGCCTATACATGAATTAGATCTTGTCTGTGCATTTAGAAATTTATAACATGTTTTATGCCGGAATAAACATAACATAGCAAACTTAATTGTGTTTGACATTCAAATTCTTCATTGCATTCGCAGAAAAAGCGAAAATTACATCAACATTAGAGTATGTTCCTCGCGACTAGTGTACCAAATGTAGCTAATTTTGAAAACTACCGTAATTTTCCGATGCGTCAGTTCCTCGTCGAGTGAGCTCATAATTAAGTGAATCGAGAAAAATCTAAAAGAAAGAATCAGTTGAGAAGCGGGGGGACATTCGAATTGTATAAATGCGGAGTTAATTTCATTTTTTGTTGGCTCAAAATAAAAACTTACAAGTTGTCATTAACTGTATTCTTGTTGATCAGAAAAGAACCTAACTACATAGTAAGACCGTATACAGCTCACAACCCAAAAATGCAAAATTGTGTACATTCTTCCACTACAAACGTGTTCTTGGGTGAAAATTATACCATTTTTATAGAGGATTTCTTTCTATCTGATGATATCTGCATACGATCTCAGCTCCACTAGATTAACTTTCAAAAAACTTCGGTACTTTTTGGAAGAGTTCAAGGCGAAAAAATTAACTCGGTACAGAAACAGAAATAACGTAAATGCTGTATTAGAGCAACCGATCGCTCTATTTCTCAATCCTCCTTGAAGGATCACTCTATTCGCTCTGTAATCGTCGTTGCAACGAGTTTCAAAAAGTTCTCAACGATTCGTTTTTCGCTACTCAAATCTGTCTTGTCCAATCTTTGAAGAAATGTATTCAGCTCTCGAGGAAATTTTGTAATAAACTTTATCAAAAGATAGCAAAAGATATAATTTATCCAAGGTGATTGACAGCTTCGTCCTGTTTTTATAACAAAAGCGCTCATAGCACATAAAATTTGAAAATTGCACTATGTTAGCACTGTTATCAAGGGATATTGTAGCGAAACGGAATACCACAGTCGACTCTCTCTATAACGGAATGGAAGGGACGAAAAATTTTTTCCGTTATATAGAGTGCCGCTACATATAGCTTAGCGTCGGTCGGGACCAAAATTCCATTCCATTATAAAGAGTTTTCCTCTATATAGAGTTCCGTTATAGAGAGAGAGAGACTATATCTATTTTGTATCTGTTATAAAATGAAATCACTGCAAAATGAAAGATTTAAATATTCAAAAGATAATAAGTGCAAAAATTCTTTGAAAAACTTCAAATATTACCTAACTAAGCTCATTCATAACTTCAACTGTGTCAGTTCTATACGAATTGCATTCTCTTGCAAATTTTGTTTATGATTTTTCAGCTAATTTTCTATTTGATATTTGTGTCGCTTTATCTGGTAATAAACTTTATTGAAATTGAATTTAACAAAGTTCACAAAAGAAATTCAAACAAATGAAACAATTAAGAAAGAAACCTCGTATTTTTCAGACCAAACCAGGTCAATGGGAGACCTAAAGAGAAGGAAATTTCGAAAAATTATAAGCAATTTTAGAAAAACTTTTAAGTGAAAGACGTAGAGGCTTTGAGAAAAAGATAGAAAAAAATTGAGCTAAGAGTTTGATTAACAAGGGGATTAAGAATGGAAAATCTTACCAAATACTTTGTGCTTTTACAAACGCCAGCTTTTTGGCACTCATTTTTTTCAGCTATGTCAGAGAGCAAGCGTTTGAGAAAGCTCAAAGAACAGCTCATTTTTTAAAACTAACTTCAGCAACTGGTTTCCATTTTCAATTTAGATTTTAGAGTTTTGATTTTCAATACAGAATCAAGCCAATTTAAGCCATCAAAGAAGCATCGGAATTCGAAGTTGATGGACAATTCGTGCTCATCGTTTGATCGGATCCACCTCGATATTGAACGGTGACTCGTTGGATTGGATGCCGATTCCCAGCTTCGACCAATGTCGGCACTCCCACTTGACCAATTGGATATCCTTGAAATGGTGGTGGCAGATCTTCATCACCTAAAACTTTTGTTAGTTCAATGCTCGCTTAATCAATAACCCTTTTCATAGCTATCAGTTGGAGGCAGACCTGCTTAACGAGTCCGGCAAAATTTTCAGACAGTCTGCCTCGCTCTTCGATTTTTTTACTACACAAAGCTCCTTCGAGCATGAAACCCAGTTCCCCCGCAAGCCCTTATTTTAAGCTTCATTTTGATACTAAACATGGATAGGTTCTGTTTTGTCATCCTTTAGATTTCGATCAATCTTTCACCGGACTCGATAACCCTAACAAGTCCAAAAAAAATTTTTTGATCTAAAATGATCGAAATCTAAAGGATGACAAAACAGAACCTATCCATGTTTAGTATCAAAATGAAACTTAAAATAAGGGCTTGCAGGAGAACTGGGTTTCATGCTCGAAGGAGCTTTGTATAGTAAAAAATCGAAGAGCGAGGCAAACTGTCTGGAAATTTTGCCGGACTCGTTAAGCAGGTTTAGTCGGTGGTAGCAATCGTTTTCTTTTGTTTTAATTTGTTGTAATTTTGCTTTTTCTTTACAGTATTAGTTACTAGTTTGCCAAATTTTTAACAATAAATCCTTGTGAAAGACTTACACTACTGGACAATGAAATATCATATTTGAAAAACGATCGTCACTTTCGCACGTCTGTAACCCCCTTGTCTTTGAGTTTAAACTATTAGTGTTAAACATTTTCTGAAAGCTCTATTCAAGGGCTGCACAATGGTAATATTAATATTTAGAAATACGGTAAAGACAAGGGAGTTATAGACGGGCGAAAGTGATGATCTTTTTTCAAATATGATATTTCATTGTCCAGTGCTGTAGATATTTTGGATTCCTTCGAATGATTCATTAACGGCTAGCCATTTACGAATCATTCGTTAGCGACTGAATTTCGTAAACGGCTACGACATATGAGATATCATATTTGAAAAAAGATCATCACTTTCGCCCGTCTATAACTCCCTTGTCTTTACCGTATTTCTAAATATTAATATTACCATTGTGCAGCCCTTGAATAGAGCTTTCAGAAAATGTTTAACACTAATAGTTTAAACTCAAAGACAAGGGAGTTACAGACGCGCGAAAGTGTCGATCTTTTTTCAAATATCATATTTCATTGTCCAGTACTGTATGTTTATGATTCACTGACCTGAATCAAAATCATCGAATTTCCAACTCAAGTTGTCCATATTATCATTAACTGGTTGTTGTAGTTGAGAGTTTGGAATCTCGTAGCCACTTGGCAATTGAACACTGATTTTCGACTTAGAAACAAGTTGTGACGATGGTGGAGGTGGAGGTGGAGGTAATTTAGGACGAGATCTCGATGCCGAATTTGGTGTCATTGGAGCCCCTGGTTGCCCCTGTTGACCATCCAAAAGCACAACAATCGATGACGGAGATATCTGAAATGTTTTGTTTAGGATTCACTCAAGTAACTCCAAATTTTTTCATCCAACCTGACTAGCCTGAATATGCTTCTTTTTATGATATGGACTGCTTGTATAGTTGAGAAAAGACTGTGATCGGTAGACATTCTTTTGGAAGGTCGATTTGTTCCCGGATTTCTTTGTGAACCCAAGAAACCAGCCCTAAAATCGAAATTTATCTAATATCTTTATGTAACTCACTCTCCAGTATCCATACATTAACAAGATGAGCAGAAATGCGCACAAAAGAAACAACGAGATCATCCACTGAAAGATTTTACTTTGAAATATTAAATCTTAACTTTAAATAAACGAAAATTAACTAAAAATCGAATTCTTTGCAAAGTAAACCTTATAGTATTTGTCTAATCAGTTTTGCTATGATAAGAGATTTATTTTGAAGAAGATTGTTCAGACAAGTTGGGATTTGATTGTCTCCTTGTGATAGACTTAAGTGAAAAGAAGAACTTCTTTATAATGAGGATGAATGATGGAAGAGAACAATCAAATGTATATAAACAACAAATAAATGCAAATGATTAACCAAAATAAGGCTAAAATCTTATCCAAAATAGAGATTTCTCATTGTATTTTCCTAGCAAAGTCATAGATTTACTGATGTAAAATCTAATGGCTAAAATTAAGCGAAGATTTGGTATTCTTTAACTCTTTAAAAGCAATGATTTGATTATTATAAAAACTGGTAAATGAGATCAATTAAGAGTAAAAGTAATGTCAAATCTAGTGGCTAAAATTAAGCCAAGCTTTAGTAAACTTTAACTCTTTAAAAGCAATGATTTGATTATTGTAAAAACTGGTAATTGAGATCAATTTATAATAAAAGTAATGTAAAATCTAATGGCCAAAAAGTTAAGCCAAGCTTTGGTAAACTTTAACCCTTTGAAAGCAATGATTTGATTATTGTAAAAGCTGGTAATCGAGATCAATTAATAATAAAAGTAATGTAAAATCTAATGACTAAGCCAAGATTTAATAAACTTTTAGCAAAACCAAGATATCTTTAAATAGAAAACAATGAAAAATGTTTAAAGCTGTTTTCAAGAAAATTGGAATTGTTGCTTAATGCAAAAACTAAGGCAATAACAAGTTTGAACATTTAAAATAAAGCCCGATAAACATGAGGAGTGGATGAAAATAGGAGAAAGAGGAAAGAAAGAGAAAGAGGAAAAGCCGTGAAGTGACAGAACACTCAATCACACTCTCGGCTTCCATAGGAATTGATCAGAACTGAGGAATTGTTTAAGGGTCAGCTGACCCTTCTCATTCACACTTATCCCCGATAAACACGTAGAACAATTCCAATTCTCATGATGGTGTTTGATCATGTTACAAGGCAAGCAGAACACCAAACCTCTTGTTTCAATGACGCAAAAAAGGATTTGAGCTTTGAGCTTTGATCTAATCTTGTTGTGAATTTACTTACCAGAAAAATTGGATGCATCTTGTATTCACACTTTAGATACTCGCAATTCCAAGTGGTTGAGCACTGCGCTGCCAGCCCGCAATCACATTGTTCACCCTCTTCTACCTAAAAAAGTACTGTTTATTGACCTTCTAATATCTTGCCTAGTATTCTAATAGCTTATTCTATTATTCGCCAGAATTTGCCAGAATTTGGAATCGACTTTCCAGAGTTTTGGAGAATCCAATAGTCTTGAAACCTTTAAATTATCTGTAGATGATCTTGATGCTCTAGTGGATGCTTGACGTTGTCTGTGCTACCCATATATTGCTTTATCTGTAGATGATCTTGATCTTGAGGCTCTAGCGGATTCTTGACGTTATCTGTGCTACCCATATATTGCTTTATCTGTAGATGATCTTGATCTTGAAGCTCTAGTGGATTCTTGACGTTATCTGTGCTACCCATATATTGCATCCATTATATCGTGTTGCTTTTTATCGATCCTTTTCGTATTTATGTGGATGAATTCATATGTATTAATCTTAAATCTTGTACACTTTATTTCATATCCTGAATAAAGTATCTATCTATCTTTATTCTAATTTCTTATTCTATTATCCTCATACTTTTTCTAATATCTTGCCTACTCAATTGCAAGTATCAAACATAAATCATTAGCTAAAGTATAAAAGTTTTTGTTTAAATCCTGTTGTACTCCAGAAGATTTAATTTGTAGTCAAATGGAAATGGAATAAAATTTTCAACAAACTTTCATAGTTCTACGGCATTTCTATAGATTTATTTTAATTTTTGTCAAAAGTGTGCCATTGGATTATCGATTTTTTTTTCTACTTGATAAATGTGATACTTATCCTCAAAATTTCTTGCATTTCTGGTAACTTCTTGTATGTCATTTTATCAAATGAAATTTCATTAAAGCTTACCAAATATTAAAGTTCATAAAATGAAAATGTTTGCTTAGATATCAATGTCTACCACTCACCACTCCATTCCCACAAATCGAGATCGACGACTCCATTTTGTGGCCAGATTTAAGGCAACGATTCTTGTAAACAATATTGGCCAATTGTTGAGCGGTACAGTCGTGATCAAACCCACTAAAGTGATCGTTTTTGTTTTTGTTTTTGATAACATTTTCAAACAACTCACGACATTGTATAATTTCTACGAACAACATATTTTCGTCGTAAGCCCATAAGGTCAAGCTTTTAGAAGAAAGAAATAAATTTCGTAGTTTTTTAGCGATACAGTGAGGGGGAAAAAAGTTTTTCGGTACTGAGTAGTCTGTTGAGGAAAATCTTTTTCGTAAACATTTGCCCATTTTTCGATTCAGATCAAACAGGTCTCAATATAAGGGATTCCGATTGGGGAGAAGAAAACACTCAACAAATAGAATTTTTGCGGGTAAAAGAGGATGAATAAGGGGCGAGAAGTGGCCATGATTCAATCGAAAGTTCTTGGTTTTTAAACTGATTTTGATTTCAGACTTTTAACATTATTCAAGAGATATAAATGAAAAACAAAAAAGCAAAACCTGAAAGAACCGGATTCGAACCCTCGAGGGTTAGCCTCTTCGGCATGAACACTAACCACCCGGCCAAACTGGTAGTGGGCGCTGGTCGCTACCAGTTTGACGAATCGATTTCGCTGGGGACTGGAATACCCCTTGATTTCAGACTCAAGACATTCTATAGATATGAATGAAAAACAAAAAAGCAAAACCTAAAGCGAGCCGGATTCGAACTCTCGAGGGTTGGCCTCTTCTCCACTAACCACTCGCCCAAACTGGTAGCGGGCACCGGTCGCTGAGGACAAGTTATAATGGTTCGAAGGAAAAATCGAATCGAATCGATTTCGCTGTGGACCGGATTTCAGACTTTTAACATTAAGAAATTTTATAGATACCGTATTTACTCTATTAGTGGGGTCCCCCACTATTTTTTCAATCCCCTTCCAGACGACCCCACTATTAGAGAGGACCCCACTATTAGAGAAATTTAAAAGAACATAAAACCAAAGTTTTAAGTTGAAAAGATATCAATTTTTCTCCGAAATTCTTGAAAAAACAAGTTTGGCTTCATATTTTATTTAGCTTTAACCGTAACAAAACATTAACAAACAGTAAAAGAACTAATCCAAGAGATCAACAATTGATGTATCACTTTCGTTACCAACATCTTCTTCCAATTAGAGATGACCACACTATTTTTTCAACCCCCCTCCAGACGACCCCACTATTAGAGAGGACCCCACTAATAGAGTAAATACGGTAAATCTAAGTAATATTTATAATATTTAGTCGAGAATCGTGTCGTATTTTGTTGGGGATTTGAACTAAAGTCATTGAAATTTCAAGAATTTACTTTTATATACCTCAGCTAAACGCTTCACAAAAAATCCAATGGAAAACAAAAAAGCAAAACGCAATTGAAAACGAGCCGGATTCGAACCCTCGAGGGTTAGCCTCTTTGGCATGAACACTAGCCACTCGACCAAACTGGCAGCCAGCAGCGGTCGCTGAGGACAGGTTATAATGGTTCGAAGGAAAAATCGAATCGAATCGATTTCGCTAGGGACTGGGATACCCCTTTAAAAGTAAAAAACAATAATATTTAAACTCAAAATGTATTAGATATCTGTAAACTTTAATAGAAAAAAGATGAGCCAAATCAATACAAAATTAGAAAAAGATGATTTAATCGTTTAAAAAGACTGCTAAATGATTGTCTTTAAATTTCAAAAGAAATGGGATAAATGTTTTGCAGATCAAACAGATATAAAAATGACTCACGGGATTTTAAGACACGGTTCGTCGATTGATTCACTACTAGCTGGCTTGCAAGTGCACTGGGGAACCTAAAAGAGATTAGATATTCAGTTAAGAGAAAACTCACAGCTGTTTAGTTGTTAAAAAGTTCAATTATTTGACTAAAATATCTCAAAAGAGGCAGCTGTCAATTTTTCGGAGAAAAATTTCCGCGAGTGGGTAAACTTTTCAACACAACTCAAAGACTTTTCGGTGATTAACAGAAAAAAAAATGGAAAAGCGTTTTGTAGATTAGTTTTGTAGATTATCGAATGAGCGAACGTTTTTTGATAGCTTTTAAGGTTTAAAGCAAATAAAACTAAAATGTTTGATTTGATTTTAATGAATTGAATAAATCTTTCAAATAAATATGAGTTCAAACTTGCAAAACTCTAGCAAAACTGTCTTTAATTTATTATTAAATTATTAAATTTCCTATTTTACATAATCTATTTCATATTTCTTCTCTCATTAATGTTTTCCCTTTTCTAGAAACGCTTTGCAACACAAAGCGTTGTGTTACAAAATGCCGTTCTTTTTAGAATAAGTAGGCTATTTTCCACAACAAAGGTCTAGCTAATTGGCCAGAAGCTTGTTTTATAGTATAATTCTTTGCTCTAACTAAGCTCTAGCTGTTAGGCACTAGAATCTATTATATAAAAGATCAGTGTCTGTCTGTCCATCTGTACAGACTTTTTCTCAGCCGTCTTTAAGCCAAAAAAAAAGGGAAATTTGTTAAAGATTCTAAATAATATAGTTGTGCCATTTAAATTGAAAAATTAAAGACGGGAGAGTTGAACGACACTAGGAGGGCCGAACCCGGATGGTACGTCGAACCCGTCTGCGCCGCAAACGAAAACCCTCCCGACTGCGCCACAGCAATCAAATTCCCAGGCCAGAAAAAGCCGCTATTGAGTTCAACTCACTTTGAGCGTCGAGTTGGCCTCTTTATGCGGCACTCCCATCAAATGGGCGACCTCATGGAAAAAGATTGAACCCATCGCCGAGGGTTGTTGAGGAAAAAACTAAAGTGGAGTTGATAATAGAATGATTTTTCGTATATTCGAAGCATTTGAAAGGGTATACCGTATTTTCTCTAATAGTAGTGCACCCCGCCGAGTTGATGACTATTTTACGGTTTCCAAGGTTTTACAGAAGCTCAACACTCAAATCCCCCACAAGATCTCATCGTCAGCTACATTTTCCGACCCCACATCGATAGGTTGTGATAAGCGGTTCTCGAGATTTCGAGGAATTTAGGCGACGCGCAGGGTGCACTAGTATTAGAGAAAATACGGTATTTTATCTATAGGAAATGAGAAAGAAAGGCTTAGGCCAAGATTTCTCCATATGCATGACTTTAGAATTCATTCGGTGCGCCTGGAGGGTTCGGTGCGCCATTTAAAAGTGTGTTTTTCATGTACCGTATTTTCTCTAGTAGTAGTGCACCCCGCCGAGTTCGCCACTATTTTACGGCTTCAAAGTTTTCGCAGAAGCTCAACACTCAAATCCCCCACAAGATCTCATCGTCAGCTACATTTTCCGACCCCACATCGATAGGTTCTGATAAGCGGTTCTCGAGATTTCAAGGAATTTAGGCGACGCGCAGGGTGCACTAGTATTAGAGAGAATACGGCATTTAAGGCATAAGAAAGTCTTTTTGCTTACCCCGCAAAGCATGACACTTTGCGATGTACACATTCCACCGACAAACGCCAATCCGCCTGCGTATTTGAACGAAAGTAAAACCGCGAAATCATGATGGGGTAGCTTGTGAAGTCTGAAAATTCGAGGATTCAAGCATATAGATTCAAGATTTTCTTTTTAACCTCTGATTCCGGTACTCTTGAAATGAGTAGAGACTTAAATCGGATCGATCTGTCTGCAAAATGTCCACCAGCACAAGCCCCAATCGGAATTGAATAAAATACTAAAATCTTTGAGGTTATTTTCATTGAAAAACAAACCGAATTCGCTTCTTGAATCAACTCGATGACTCTTATTCGAACTTCTTCCAAATCAAAGCCATAGTGTTCAGTCTGAAATCGATTTCTTAATGTGACAAGAACTAAATTCTCACCGTTTTTCGATCGAGAAAGAGAAGTGTTTTAAGGATTCGATGTGGTTCACCGCCTAGCTGAAGAAGGGAATAATCTGGCGTTGGCTCACCCCAAACGGCGGCTGTTGATGAAGAGTGGTGGATCTAAGAATAAAGGGTGAAAATGGAAATCTGAATCCTGATTGAAAGCAAGAATAGCTTTTCAATGAAAAACGCTTATTTTTCACCTCTCTTTCATGTCCCAGAGATCTCTTCCAAAGCCACGCGGCAACCGTTGCATTTGTAGTTTGAGCAGAAATCTAGAAGAAAAATAATTGATAAAATACTAGCTATTTGATTTTACAAAGCCATTCGATCTCTCTCAATACTTCTAAATCCATAGATTAAACACTTGGATATATCTACTAGATATAAAGATACTAAAACGTCTGTCTGTTTGTCTGTCTCTGCGCACTACTTCTCCGCGCCCAGTGCGCCGGAGTGTATAAAGGAATGTCCATGTAGGGATTCACAGCAATCAGAATCGAGCCAGTATAAGTCTAAAAGCATTCAGTGACCTTTTCCTTACTCTTGGTAATTTGGATTGTAATTGTTGACTATTATATATAAAAGAGCAGTGTCTGTCTGCTGTTTGGGCCGTTCCAAATGCTTTATAGTTAGTTTGGCTTAGAATTTCATTTAGTTGTGCAAAATGTTTTTAAATTTTTAAAAAACTAACTGCTGACGCGGGCGGGAGTCGAACCCAGGTCATGTGGGCTGGAGAAAAGGCACTGCGCTATCTACTATGGCTAAAAGAACATGACCGAGTGGTTAACGGCTTTCAAACGAGAGAGGTCGCAGGTTCGCCTCCTCTTGCCGCTAATTCTTTTGCTTTTTGCTGATTGAATTGATGAAAAAGGAATCTTATGAAGGCATTCACTTCAGCAGCGAAGCTTCTAGTTATTCAATAGATTGGGATATCACCAGAAATACCAAATACCATTTTTATTTGAAGATATCTTCTTATATCTTCTTTATCATCATTTTATCATTATATTATTCTTATCTGAAAAGCCAACTCACTGTCTGTGAAAGATATGCGAATGGGAGCACGAGCTTGAGCACAAATTCAAAAAGCATCACCATGAAAGACTTCTGAAATAAAAGCTTTAACTTTAATTTAACTTAAATTAACATATCAATTTAATATCATATTCATTTGATCAAATAATCCCAAATATCTCACCTCTAGTCTAGAATTTGATTCCTAAAGTGCTTTCAATTACTCACATCATATAGACAACTCTGAAATACTGAAAGTATTTGTAAAAAAAACAAATTTAAGTAAAAAAATCGAAATTCAAAGTAATATATTGAAAGAGATTAGAGAAAAAGAAAAAGAAAAGATAGAAATGAGGGTAATTCATTCTCATCCAGACAACAGCTCAAAGAAGACCTTGTCGTGAAAAAATGAATTGGAGAATGTCAAAAAGTCCAAGATTCGACTTGCAGACGAAAACCTACGAAAACCCTGCAAAAATGGGAAACACACAGCATCCAAATAATGCTCACTATGCTCAAATTCTTTGGAGAAACCTTTTGCCTTAACTTTGCTCGTATTTTCATTGCAAAAATTAACCTTCAAAATTAGCCTTTAAAATTTTATAAGAAGCACTATTCTTTTGTACTAAGTGAACAAGGGAATGATCAAAACTTTAACGGAATAACTTCGAGCCTCCGCTAAAGTTTGGATCAACTTTTTCTGGTTAAGATTTTTAAATCTTAACCAGAAAAAGTTGTTCCTACATAGGAAAAATCATTTGTAAACAAGAAGTCTAAAAGCCCTAGGCAAAAAAAGTTTAACCTAGAGGAGAATCGAAATCGGACGGAAAACTGGGTATCCGAGCACATTATCATCCACTCGGCTACCGCTTAAATCTTTCATTTTCGTAAACAGACCGCAAAATGGGTTCTAAAATTTTAAAGCCGTATATCTCGCGTTTCCAGAGTCTATATTGAAAAATTTTTACGGATTCGTGATCTCTGTGGTCGATTCTATAAGATTCATATAGGTTCGAAGTCGAAGAAGAAGAGGAAGAAGAAGAAGAAGAGAAAGAAGAAGAAGAGGAAGAAGAAGAAGAGAAAGAAGAAGAAGAAGAGGAAAGAAGAAGAGAGGAAGAAGACGAAGAAGAAGAAGAGAAAGAAGAAGAGAAAGAAGAGAAGAGGAAGAAGAAGAAGAAGAGAAAGAAGAAGAAGAGGAAGAAGAAGAAGAGGAAGAAGAAGAGGAAGAAGAAGAAGAAGAGAAGAAGAGGAAGAGGAAGAAGAAGAAGAGGAAGAAGAAGAAGAGGAAAGAAGAAGAAGAGAGAGAAAGAAGAAGAAGAGGAAGAGGAAGGGAAGAAGAGGAAGAAAGAAGAGGAAGAGGAAGAAGACGAAGAGAAAGAAGAAGAAGAGGAAGAAGAAGAGGGAGAAAAGGAAGAAGAAGAGAAAGAAGAAGAAGAGGAAGAAGAAGAGAAAGAAGAAGAAGAGAAAGAAGAAGAAGAAGAGGAAGAAGAAGAAGAGGAAGAAGACGAAGAAGAAGAAGAAGAGAAAGAAGAAGAAGAAGAGGAAGAAGAGGAAGAAGAAGAAGAAGAAACTTCGAAGTTCGAAGATTTCGAACTTCAACTTTCTCTTGATCTTCAACTTCAAGCATTCTCTTGTCAAATATCTAGGCTAAAATAATAAATGTTTTTTTGGCAACAGATCGAATTGGAGAATAGAAAGAAAAGAAAAGATGAGTGATTGTTTTCTTTTCACACTTTCAAGGTGACCTAATTAAATGGTTTTCTCTAGAGAATCAATAATTGATAGTATTGCCAATTGAATTCATTAAAATTTTGAAAGATTTTAGACTCACAGGTCAAAAATTCTTTCTAGTTTTTTTCCAAGACAGACTAAACCTTTTCAAGACAGTTAAAGACTAGAATTTTCTGTTATGTCAATATTTTATCTCATTTTCTTGATGATTCATTTGGTTGTCATGAATGGAAATTGGTAATACCACGCAGCTGTCGAAAATCTAACCACACAATCCCACGCGTTTTTCTCTAACCCTTTTTCTCAAAAATATTGAAAGAAGAAGAAGAAAACCAGAACCTGGACAATATGAGAAAAACCGGGAATCGACCAAAAGACCAAAAAATAAATAAACATCGGTTTTAAAGAGAAAACAAGCGAGATGGATTATTGACTGAAAGTCCCTTGGCCAGGATTTCAGAGAGAATTGAGCTTTGCCCAGAAGCGTTCAATCAATTTAAACCCAGAGAAGAAATTTAGCAAAATCTTCAAGCTATATCATTGCTATAATAGCCGTTTTAGACCTTAACTGTTACTCAGGAAACTTTTAACCACCACCAATCGATTCTTCGTATTACATAGAACCCGTGCGCTAAAAAATTGATTTCAAATTTGCGAATCGAGCTAGAGAAACTCAAAGTTGGGCAGAGGCGCAAAAAAAGCCTTGAAAACTCAACTTTGAGCGATTCAAACGAGCTTATTCAATAAAAAAAACGTGTCAAATAATCTAATAGCTCAGCACAACATTAACCTCATTGATTGGAGGGGAATTTCGAGGTCAATCCTCCTCTTTCCTCTTTATTTCTTTTCCCCGGGCGGTCCAAACCAGCCGATGTCTATCGGTGACCATTTGAGGGAATCAAATGGGAAAAAGGAGAGAAAAGAGAAAAGAGTATGCCCGACTTGATTCAATGCATTCACGAGTTTTTGCGACTAAAGAGAAAATAGTGAGAGGAACTCTTTTAAGAATGGCAAAAAGAGATCCAAGCCTTTTTGGATGATTGACAAGAAGAGTTTGACTAAAAGTGTAAAAAAATTTGGTGAACTAATGCAATGGGAATGCTTGTTGAATGATTGCAAAAATTTGATGAATTAATGAATGAGTTAGAAGCTTAAAACTTTCAAACAACTACATCTAAAACCATTTTATAAGCTATTTTTCTATCAACCAACTTAAATCAAACTTATAAAGATAAATTTAAGAAATTAAAGTGATAAAGGTCGATCAATTGAACTAGTAATTGATTAATAGACTAAAAAGTGGACTGGTTCAAGGTTTGTCAGGTTTATGCACATATTGGGATCGATCTGCTGAACAAAGAGAAGACAGATAGATTAGTTGAATTGGATTGGATTGGCAGAATTGGTCCCTGGCGGGGTACTTGATAAACAATCTTGTTGATTGTCAAAACTGTTTAACTCAAGATATCTGATAAAGATTTCTTAGATAAACGCAAATAGATTTACACCATTTACTGGTTGTAAAAAAGAGAACAGAGAATCAATCTGCTGAACAAAGAGAAGACAGACAAATTGGTCCCGGTACTCGATAGACAATCTTGTTGATTATCAAAACTCTTTTACAAAGTTTAACTCAAGATATCTGATAAAGATTTCTTAGATAAATGCAAATAGATTTACACCAAACTCGTTGTAAAAAAAGGAGAACTGAGAATCGATCTGCCGAACAAAGAGGAGACAGACACAAATTGGTCCCCGGCGGGGTACTCGATAGAAAAAGGATTAAAAGAGAAGAAAAGAACGAGTCATAAAAGAATGGAGGAAAAGAAAGGCCAGGAAATGGTGTCCCGTAGTGGGAAAGGGGAGGATCGACCCATCTCTTTCCTTTTTGAAAGGGTGAAGCCCTCTCTCTCGAGTAGGAAAAAGATGAATTTTTAGTTTAGCATTTGGAAAGCAAAGAGTGAATTTGTTAGCACCAATTTTACTTTGAAGAACTTTGAAGTTTTAAGAAAAGTAGTATGATATGTTTATGAATGAAAAAATAGAGGAAGATCATTGAAAAGAGGTTTATGAAACTAGAATTGATTAGATGATTAGAAGAGGTTTGTTTAGAGGAAAGTTAACTTTAGATTCAAGATTTATTTCAATAAGATAAAAAGTCATAAAGTACCAAGAAAAGAATGTTAAATTAGAGTCTTTCCAGAACGATTTTTTCTAGATAAAGTTGAGCCAAGCCAACTAAGGCTTTACTCAAAGCTTGGCTTACAAAAAGAGAAAGTTAGATCAAAATTTGATTCCTAATCTGGCTTTCTTTCTTGTTTACGTCAAAACTGAGGAAATTCGTCTTAATCTGGGCTCATCACTTCTGTGATGATGCTCATCACTCATCACTTCTCATCACTCATCACTTGAGTTAAGCTGATTGGTGATATTAAGTCATAATGTATCATGTGCATAATCATCGCTAAAATTCGCTACCCTTAAAACATTGCATAAAATAAAGCTTAACAAAAACTTATAATCAATCTAAAAATTCAAACTATAAGATCTAGCTCTGATTTTATGGAGACTCTCTAATGAGAGGCTTCAAGAAATTTGACAACTTACACTTAGATCGAGATGACGGAATTTGAGTGTAAGCCAGCCTCTTTTAGGAGCCAATTTTAGAGAGAAGAAGGAGGGAAATTGCGAAATAGAGAGTGGTGTTCAGGGGAGGAGAAGGGATTCCATGAAATGGATCGAAAGGAATGGACATTCCTCTTTCTATACCACAGCAATAGTATGACACATTTGATGAGATAAATTTGAACTTTAAGCGACTTTTAAAGCTATTGCAAATAAGAATCGTTTAGTGACCAATTCTGGGCCCGATTTCGTCTCATAACGATTGAAATTCTCTTCAGTTTTACTTTGTAAAAATTTCTTTGATATTAAACTGTGAAATTGAAATGAAATTGTTAGCCCTTAGAAAGAATTCACTTTCTTAAATAGTTTTTGCAATATATCATCTTAAGAAAATCTTACACAGAGTTAATGTTAATCTTATAAAACCCTAGATGCTACTTGCAGTGAGACCCTTCAATACCTGCCATCCTTCACCATTCTTCCTTTTGTCTTAAGAAAATCTTATGCAATGTTAATGTTAATGTTAATCTTGCAAAGCCCTTGATGTCACTTACAGTGAGATCCTTGAATGCCTGCCATCCTTCACCATTCTTCCTTTTGTCTTAAGAAAATCTTCTACAATGTTAATGTTAATGTTAATCTTGCAAAGCCCTAGATGCTACTTGCAGGAGTGAAACCCTTCAATACCTGCCATCCTTCACCATTCTTCCTTTTGTCTTAAGAAAATCTTACATAATGTTAATCTTATTCAAAATGAAATCTTTCACAGAATCTTTTAGATCCTATTTGTTTTTTCAAAAGTTTGTACACGTGGATCGAATTATCAAAAAGAAATTTGAGATTACATTGAGATAATCGAAAGTAAGACAAATAAAGA